CCCCATACACATGTTAATTATAAAGGGCACTTTTCAGAGCAATGCCGGCAGCTACCTCTTTAGCCAGGTGATCAAGGGAAACATAAGCAGCAGTCAAATACATCAACATCAGGTGCCCCAACACCGGTATGCTTGCTGAAAACATGCAACCTCAAAATGACCCTGAGGAAACATCTGGTAAATCAAACTGCCAAGGTCAAGGGTGATGAGAGCAGAGAAACTTCACAAGTGGAGGCACTAAGCAGACAGGATGGTTAAATGTAATGTGGGGTCCCAGAACGAAAGCGGACATTTGCCAGGAGAAAAACTGGCAAAACTTGAGTTAAGTTTGTGGATCAGTTAAGTTTTAAAAGTGTCCTATGATGGAACAAGATGTTAAGGCTGGGGACGCCGGGTGAGAGCACTCTACACTGGCTCTACACTATCTACACTATCTACACTACAAATTTATAAAAAGTTGGGAAAAAGCTAACCAAGGAGAAAGGGGTGCATTGTTAGTGAGCACGGAGACTTCTCAGACTGCGCTCACTGTGCCAACATGCACACTGCTGGCCACTCAGGAAAACATCCTAGTGGAGAGAAACGCACAGCCTGGACCTGCTGGTCTTCGGCGAGACGGGCCTCTTTTCAAGGGTGCTAGGATCAATGGTCTGCGGCTGGGACTGAGGCCCCCCTGCTGGCAGCAGCTTTGGGTCACAGCTTTTTGCTGTCAGCCTCCAAACTCTCGCTGGAGACGGACAGATGGAGTTCTGAGAGAGCCTGGCCACGGAGGAGGCTGCATGATTGTGGCCACAGCTCAGCAGCCCCTCAGAGGAGCTGGCGAGGCACCTCTCTTCTCACACCACTGAACGAATTCAAAGGGCCCTTGTTCCTCCCTGCAGCCAGCTCCTGGGAGCTGCCCTTGTTCCCCGTCCCATTAGAGATAATTACTGCTGGGGGACTTGTCCTTGGTGAGTGTCCAGCTAATATTTCTACCTGTTCTCATACAACAGCTTGATGCCAGCCTCATCAGTTTCCTGCTCAGCTTGCTCACAAGTGTGGCTGGCCAAGTGGATTCGCTTCTCCTGGGTGGCTTTGTGTCCAGCCAGCCTCTAAGTGTGTCTGACCCTAAGGCTGCTATCTAGTGTCCACTGCCCTTCCCTGATGAGAGGCTGGCGCCCCCATCCCAACTACCCCAACACCCGCACACAGAGTACCAGGTCTGAGTCACCTCCCGTCCAATACCCACAAGGAAGCACCATCCACAGGGAACATCCATCTGTGCCTGGGCCCTACAGGTCACCAAGGCAGCTGCTAAGAGGGGCTGGCTCCCAAGGAAGACCACCACCCCACTCCTGTGCTCCCAGCTCTCACAGCTCAAGTCACAGAGTGGCCTGGATTGTCCAGTGCCCCACTTTGAGCGGGGAATGATACTGACAGGGCAGAAGTGACCCAATTGCCCAGGATGGCATCCCCCAGGCCTCGGGACCAAGGGTCCACATAGGCAGGCGTTGCTGTGCTGAATGGCACTCACCGCCTGGCAGGTGCTTTCTGAGGCTGGTCGGAGCTCAGCAGGCTGTGCTGCCACTGACCTGCTCAGCAATGAGGATGCCGCGCTTGGCACTGCAGCACTTTGCAGAGCACAGGCCCAGCCGGCGGGACAGCCCCCTGGAAGGCACCCCCAGTGGCAGGCGGCAGGATCGCCCTCCTGAGGCTGGCAGTGGGCACCCTGGGACAGGCTGGGCCAAGTGGGCCCTGCCAATGAACTCTCTGGGCCAAAGGCACACTTGTGCACACCTGACAACACTTGCTGCCCAGCGGCCACACTCTGTAGATAATGTGCCTCTAAGAACGCACACCAGGATGCCACACGACGCCATCACCTCTCTGCAATGAGCAGGGGTTGATCCTACACGCTCCCTCCCCACCCTCACAGCAGAGAATCTGGGCAGCATCTCAGGATAGCATGTGGCAATGGAAGCCCCCGTGGCCCCTTGGTGGGGTAGGAGGCCCCCTGCCTCCCTTCAGGATAGCTCGCCCACCTCTAGAGCCCTGCCGGCTCCCACTCAGGCACTCCCACTAGTGAAGACAGACTTGTGGTGCAGGGTGCCCTGCCCACACCGGGATGCCCCTCCCTTGCTGAGGCTGTGCACAGGAAATCAACAGAGATGGTGTGTCCCGGTACCACTAGGGCCTCCTCCCCTTCTTCTCCCCCCTTCCATAAGCCTTATCCCGCAGATGGGAAGAGACCTGGGTCCGCAGCCTCCCCCCTGTCCTGTCCCCACCCTCTGTGCACCCGCAGCCAGCCCCACGGCAGTCCCCACCGAGTTCCACAGGGGGCACCCAGGCTCTGATCAGTGGCAGGAGAGGCAACCTCCCAGGACCGCTGCCCCTCAATGATGGGGAGCCAAGCTGCCCCTGAGACCCCCCCACCACAGGAGGAGTATCTGCCCCTCACCGGCAGGTCTCTGCGGACTGGGGGAGATGTCCCTCTGGGGGTTCTGCCTCCTCTGGCAGCTGCAGCTGCACCTGAGGCTGGGAGGGGCTGGGTGGGTCCCCCTCGCCCCTGGGAAATACTTCCTAGCTCTGGTGGGACAGGAGGGGTGGCCATAGAGTCCTGATGAGCTCACCACCTGCGATGTGCAGGGGTCCTGCTGAGTCTGGGGTCAGGGGCACAGGCAGAGATTGCCCCATAGGGCAAAGTAGGGAGTATCTGCCTTTGCAGGCTCTGGGAGTGGCAGGATAGGGGCCAGGCAGGCTGAGGATGGCAGGAAAGGCTGGTGTGCAGGGGTCCTGCTGAATCCGGGGTCAGGGATGTTCCGGGGTCCTGCTGAGTCTGGGGTCAGGGATGTGCAGGGGTCCTGCTGAGTCTGGGGTCAGGGTCACTGGCACAGATTGCCCCATAGAACAAAGTAGGGAGCCTCCGTCCTAGGCAGCTCTGGGAGTAGTGGGATTAGGGGCGGGGCAGGCAGTGGAGGATGGCAGGAAAGGCTGAGTGTGCAGGAGACCAACTGGCTTCTAGGGAGGCAGCGCAGCCACCTTGTGGCTCAGGCGCATTTTTCGTGGGTACTTGTGGTGCCTCTAGCGGCTGCAGGCAGAGACAAGGGCTGAGGCATAGGACTCCTGCCATGGGAAGGTGCAGGACTGGCCACACCCCCCCACCCTCTGCAGGGGGAGTGAAGTCAAATCACATTTCACATGGGGCAGGATCAACAGGCCGGGAAGCAGGCCACCACACAGGGCAGAGAGGACAGGCCACCTCTGCTGGGCACCACTGTTGCTCACCTGTGAGGCCCCGGGCCACAGGCTCTTCCTTCCGCTGCAGAAGGACAGGTGGCCTCTGCTGGGCATGGCCATTGCTCACCTGTGAGGTCCTGGGCCACAGGCTCCTCCTTCTGCTACAGGTGCCTCCGGCCTCGCCCCGCTGGGCACTGCTCTTGCCCCTCAGCTGGTCTGTGGCCCACAGGCTTGGGTCTCCCACTGAAGGGCTCCCAGGTTGAGTGGCGCCTGGTGCCTAGGGCCTCTGAGATTCTGGACCGCACTGCCTCTGGCTTCCATGTTCTTTGAGGTGAGCCTCTCTCTGGCTGGCTCTGCCACCTCCTGTCCCACTCCAGTACCAGCACCCCTTCCTGCTCTGCTCAGTCCACCATGGTCCTGGCTGACCATTGGGGAGGGATTTTGGTTTTGCTGCCTTGGGGTGTGTAAGGAGCAGAGGGCTAATGGCTCTGTGTGGCCAGTGGTGGCCATAGCTCTCTGTCCCCAGGAGAACGAAACAGAACAGGGTGGGTGTGGGGTTTGTTCTTCAGTGTGGAGCCCAGTGGTGAGGCATGGCATTGTCCTGGTGCACAGAGGAGCCACAAGGAACTCTCCTGGGGACCATGCCAGAGGAACCCTCCTAGTGCCCAGGAAGGTTACCCCCAGGACACAGCTGCCTTTGTCTCTGGAGACTGGCCCATCCTGTTTCTGAAAATCTTTCTCCAGACACGGCAATGTTTACTGTGGGAACTGAGAGAGAGGGAGGGTGTGGGTAGGTGGTGCTCCTGCACAGAAGTGGCTCTTCCCTGCTCAGCAGGGGACACCACATATCCCTGCAGCACGGATGGGGCTGCAGCCTTGGACAGGCCTCTCCCAGAGAAGCCCCAAGAAGTCAGCAAAATTAGTTCTCACTCTGGCTCATCCCAAGTGGATGGGCTCAGCCCCATCCAAAGCACCTGTCCCTCTTCCTCCACAGGACAGGCACACAGAGACCAAATCTGCTGAGGTCTTCAGGATGGAGACACCGCGTCCTGTTCTGTCGCCATAACCTACTGCTTTCTGGTCCCAAGGGAGGAAAGGGGGCCAACTCCTCCAGGGGCTGGAAGGAAGAGACATAGAGAACAGCCGTCAGGGAGACTGCACTCCGCCAGCCAGTGTGAAGAGGCTGAAGGGGCAAGGGGCTGTGTGACCAGGATGACCCCTGCACCCAGAGGAAGGTCCTCTCAGGAGAGGCCTGAGATAAATGTCACTTTCTCCACATCCTCTCCTCTCATTTGGAAAGGAAGCAATGATTGAATGTCGGCATGTGGCCTTTGCTGCAGGTTGACAGCTGTGACCCTGCAGCCTAGACATGGAGGCCAGCAGCATGGCAGGAGACTGGGGCACTCCTGGGCACAGCCTGTGCTCAGCAGCACATGGGAGCAACTGAGGTCTCCTGGTACCGCTTCCTGCCCAGATGCCACAGAAGCAGGGGAGAATGGTGAGACAAGAACATCGGAGCTTCTCCTGCACCGGCAGGGAGTGGGCCCTGCTTTCCTCCTTCCGGAGAAGGCCCAGTGACCCGGAAGCCTTGGACAGAGTCCTGACCCAGGGAAGGCATGGGCAGCTTCCTAACTGCCCTGGCAGAGCTCGGGTTGGTGCCTGCGTGGGCAGCAGACTGGTGGGCAGCTCCTAGCTGGCAAGGGCCGAGGACGTCTCCCAGGAGGCAGAGGGGACCTGCCAGACCTGGCCCTGGGATACTCACCACATCAAGGTGCCAAGACGAGCTACGACCAGAGAATGAAAGCTAAGGAGAAAAATAAGAACAAAAATAAAAACTGAAAGGGAAAGGGGAGGATGGAGAAACAGAAGAAAAGAAAGAGAAAAAAAGAGTTTGTAGCACTTCTGGCAAGAAACACATCTGATTACAGACAGACCAAGACAGAGCTGCAGGCTGCGGAGAGGACCAGGGTTAGGAACCTGGGCCCAGGACCCTGTGGGAATTCCCTGCATCAGAGGTGACGGTGCTGCCAGCCCTGGGACATGCTTGGGGACTCTGCACCATGCACAGCTGGCTGTGGGTGCCAGCTGGGGGCTGCACACCCAGCATGCTCCTAGCACACCAAGGGAAGCCTTCTGGGGACTCAGTTTTCTGCTCTGTGAGGTGAAATCCACCACTGAGAACTGTCTCAGGAGTTCATGGACGAGGTGCTCAGTGGCTGCCTATTAATAAGATGAAAGTCTTGTTGAAAGACTTTCAACAAGAAAGTGACCATGTGACCAGCACACAAGAACACACCCTTGACAATGTTCTGGCCTCAAGCCCATTCTGGGAACAAAGTACAACCAACACCTGAGTGGATGAAACACCTGGTCTTTATCTGGGCTGGGGGTTGGGGCCCAGACTGATTTAAACCAAGAGACTCCAAAGAAATCAATGTTTGCTTTGAGAGAGAGACCTTGCACTCCTCAAAGCTCAGGCCCCAAGAACTCTGCATCCCCTCCTAGCCTCATTGGGCTCCTGGCTGTGCCAGGCACCCACAGGGTGGGAAAGGTCATTCCTTACACACTACTCAGGGCTCTGTCCTCATGGTGGATTTGCACCTTGAGCAGGACAATGGCTCGGCAGGTGGCTGCAAAGTGCCCAGGAGAGGGAGTAGTTCTGGTCACTGTGGAGCAGGGGCCCGCTGGGCTGGTGAGGGCAGAAGGGCCAGCCTGCTGTGAGGAGCCTGCCATCCAGAGGGCTGCATCTCTCCTGGCAAGCCCAGGGATCTGTGGGCTCTTCCTCAGGCAGGGACCAAGCATGTGCTGATCACAGGGACCTCCTGCCTGACACCAGCCTCCTGTTCCTTCCCGAAGGGACCAGAGAAAGGGATGTCCCACTGTCCACTTACTGCTCAGCAGTAGCTGGTCACTTTGGTGAGATCTGCCCCACAGGCAGGACCTGAGTCAGCAGTCTGACCCCTAGAAACTGCCCTAATAGCCAGCGAGGCCTCCAGGAGGGAGAGGGCTCTCTCTGGCCCTCGCTACACCTGGACTCAGGAGAGCCAAGGCCGGTCATGTGCGTGGACAGAACAGCACAGCACAGCCCCTCCCCTCTCAGAGCTGGGAAATTCAGAAAAAGACCCTCCCCAGGCCCTGCACATGTGACCCCAACCCACTCCTCTTCAGCAGGAGTTTGTGAGCCTGGGAGAATTGCTTGAAAGATTTTACCTTCTCTTCCAGTTCCTTTATCTGTCTCTTCTGACCTTCTATTCTCTCTTCTAACTCTTTAATTCTCTGCAATAGTAAAAGAAGACATCTCAGTAAGCAAGAGTACTTGGGAAACAAGTGGCAAAAAGCCCTTTCAAAATTTGCTCATTTATTTGGTGGACAAATAGCTGGCATGTGGGGCTCTGGCCCCTGTGGCCTGTGGCTGGCGGTGGGGACACAGGCTGTGCTGTCTGCAGTGTCCCTCCAACCAGAGAGTGGAAGGCCCCCAATGGCCATACTCCCTGGGTGGGAATGACACCCTTCCACCTCCCACAACTTCACATCAAAATTACGTCACCAGACACCCAAGGAAAGGGTAAGGAATTAATTTACCCAAACATCGTTATGTCTGAGGGTGGAGCAGCCAGGGATAAGAGCCAGTCAGGCAGAGAATTTTCCTTGAGAGGGTGACGCCTGTGCCTGAGACCCCACGAGCTGCTGATTTCTGCCCACAGTCCACCCACAGGCTGAAGGGGGCTGCTGGGCATCCTCACCTGGACACCCCAGGGACTAAAGAGGCCCAGGGAGGCTAAAGGGGGCTGGCAGCCTATGCCTAACAACTGCTCACTAAGGTCACATGACGCAGACCCAATATGATCATTCACCCAAATTTGCAAGTGGAACCTTTGGCCTGTGGTATGGCTGACAGGAAACACATCCATACAGGCCACTAGAGGGTGTGGCCATGGGATGTGTGGCCATAGGAGGCCCAGCCTGGCTCTTGACACCCCACCCCTTCGTGGCAGGTTGGAGTCCAGCCCACGCGCACCTGCTGTGCCCCCTGCAGCAGCTCCATGCGCTCCCGCAGGATCTGGGCATCCCGCTCACGCAGCTCGCTCAGGACCTGGCGCTTCCACTGCTCCACAGCCACCTGGAGCTTCTCTCTCTCCTCCTCCGACAGCAGCCCGGCCACTTTGGCCCCAGCCTCCTGCTGCAGGGCGTCGTACAGCATGGCTTCCAGCTCCAGGATGTGCTGCAGGGAGGGGGACAGCTCAGGCCCCCCGGGGAAGGGGCCAGCGCTCCCAGCTCCCGGCTGCACAGCCCAAGTTGCAGGAGAAGGGGGGGTGTGCAGTGTGGGGGCTCAGACCCCCACCCACAAGAAGATGGAGAAGTAAGGTTGGCCGGGCAGGTGTGAGCTGGAGTACAGAAGCCCCATCAGGGCTGAAGCTGTGAGGTGGGGTCACGGGAGGATGCAGCTATGGCCACGCTGACCAGGGGAGCCAGGTGGGTCATCTCTGAGCTGCTTCCCAATTGTTCAATTCATGGATCCTTTTGCCATGACTCAGAACCCAAACTATATCTCTTGTTATAAACAGGATTTACAGATTTCACCAGGAGTACTTTTAAACTTTCTTCTTTGGAAATTTTATTGATACAATCTTTTAATGAACTACAGAAGGCCTTTCTTACCATCAAAAATGTAACATCTTCAGAAATAAATAGTTTCTTTTCTTCAGGCAAGATAATTATGAAAATGCCTTTTGATTTAGTAGAAATTTCAGGAAATGGAGAAAAAGACCTTTTGTAGCCTTAGTTACAATTTATTGTTCTTGACAGCCAAAAAATAAAACATCCCCAGCTGTCACAACCAGCTCACATGCCACATCAACTGGCACTTCTTGGCAGAAGAGCTCAGTAAACACAAGAAGCTACAGGGAGTCAGCCTCGCACAGTCTCACACACACCTGGTGATGGACAGGTCTGCAAGCCCTGCCTAGGACAGGAGGACCCCAGAGGATAAGTGATGGGCCACCCGAAGGGTCCACCTTGTCCTGAACACGGGGGTCCTACTCTCCAGAGAGCTGCCATCCCAGTGAAATGAGTACCCTGTGTCCTCCACAGCCCCTGCGGGTCCTGCACGCAAAGTCGAACCTGCAGGAATACCCAGGACTCCCAGGTTGCTGCTCACCAGAGCACTCTGGCTCTGTCTGCCCCACTCTGGGGAAAGGCGAGGAACAGGGGAGCCCAGGCTCAATGTCCAGGTAAAGTGCAAGGGTTCAGTGGCCAAGCAGGGAAACAAAGGCAGGACAACAAAGTGGGGGCCTTCCTGCACAAATTGCAGAGAGAGGGCCCAAGCATGACACACAAGAGCTCCCCAGCATCACATAGGAAGTGGCCCCCCAGCATCACACAGGATGCGACCCCCCAGCATCACACAGGAAGAGGCCCCCCAGCATCACACATGAAATGGCCCCCCAGCATCACACAGGAAGTGGCCCCCCAGCATCACACAGGAAGAGGACCCCCAGCATGACACAGGAAGAGGCCCCCCAGCATCACACAGGAAGAGGACCCCCAGCATGACACAGGAAGCGACCCCCCAGCATCACACAGGAA